ACTTCCCATCCTCATTTCCATTTCCAGCCCCATCACCTGTTGATGATCGGAATGAGGATTTTTATGGAAATTTTCGATGGTATTCACAACACTTCCCATCTCCATTTCCATTTCTAGCCCCATCACTTGTTGATGATAGGAATGAGGATTTTTATGGAAATTTTTGATGGAGTCAAAAATACTCTTTGTCTCATATGGTGAAGAATGATAGGTCCCATAGGTATATGATTTTTTTATTGATAATTTTTATCTTATATTTTTAATAATTTGTTTTTTATCTTATATTTTATTGGTAACAGGTCCATACAAAAATAGGTACACTTCCCATCCTCATTTACATTTCTAGGCCCATCACTTGTTGATGATAAGAATGAGCATTTTTATGGAAATTTTTGATGGGGTACACAACACTTCCCATCCCCATTTCCATTTCTAGCCCCATCACCTGTTGGCGATAGGAATGAGGATTTTTAGGGAAATTTTGACGGGGTCAAAGATACTCTGTCTCATATGGTGAAGAACAATAGGTGCCATAGGTATATGATTTTTTATTGAGAAATTTTATATTATATTTTTAATAATTTGTTTTTTATCATATATTTTACTGGTAATGGGTCCATACAAAAGTAGGTAAACTTTCCATCCTCCCTTCCATTTGCAACCCCATCACCTGTTGATGATGAAAATGAGGATTTTTATGGAAATTTTTTATGGGGTACACAACACTTCCCATCCCCATTTCTGTTTCCCGCCCCATCACCTGATGATGATAGGAATGCGGATTTTTATGGAAATTTTCGATGGGGTACACAACACTTCCCATCCCCATTTCCATTTCCAATTCCATCACCTGTTGATGATAGAAATGAGGGTTTTTATAAAAATTTTTGATGGGGTCAAAAATACCCTTTGTCTTATACGGTGAAGAGCGATTGGTCCCATAAGTATATGATTTTTATATTGCGAATTTTTATCTTATATTCTTAATAATTTATTTTTTATCTTATATTTTATTGGTAACGGGTCCATACGAAAGTAGGTACACTTCCCATCCCCATTTTCATTTCTTGCCCCATCACCTGTTGATGATAGGAATGAGAATTTTTACGAAAATTTTCTATGGGGTCAAAAATATTCTTTGTCTCATATGGTGAAGAACGGTAAGTCCCATAGGTATATTATTTTTTTATTAAGAATTTTTATCTTATATTTCATTGGTAATGGGTTCATACGAAAGTAGATACACTTCCCATCCTCTTTTTCATTTCTAGCCCCATCACCTGTTGATGATAAGAATGAGGATTTCTATGGAAATTTTCAATGGGGTACACAACACTTCCCATCCCCATTTTCGTTTCAGAGCAGGAACCTGAACATATAATTCAGAAAGCAACTGCATCTCCCATGTTGCTTTTGTAATGGCACAGTACTCAACCTTTGCACTAGACTGGGAAACTGTAAGTAGGGTTTTTCTAATTTTATTTCTTTACGTATAATTAATACAACTTTTAATAATTAATTTAATATAAAAATTAATATTAATTTTTATATTAATACTTT